GCAGCTAATCATTAATGTTCGCAAATCTTTCCACTTGTAATGAAGGATGAAACGACGCCAACCTTTTTAAATTTATGGAAAAATTACATTCAGACCCTTTAAGATTTTATTATTTAATCATTCAAATATCTTGACATTTAAATATTATACACTGATCCCCTGATGTTTGTAGATATGAAACACTCAGACTTCTATTGTAAATATATCCGTTAATAAATTACACTTAAACTCTTCTATAGTTTGTGGGTATTTAATACATAGATCTTTTAAATTTAAAATATTATATTTAGACAAAAAATACTCCAATTAAATATAAAATATAAAATATTTTAAATTTTACAACCAAAATTCATATTCTATTGTATCATTTATTGAAATAAAATTAAAAATAAAATTTTAATTTTTTCTTAAAAAAATAGTAATTAGTATACAATTATACTATCTATTGAAATAAAACTACAAAAATCAAACAAAGGATCTAAGTCATTCATAATAGAATATGAATTTTACATTTAAAATTCATGTTCTATTATGTAATTTATTGAAATAAAATCAAAAATAAAAATTTATGATCAAAAGTTTAGTATTATTTATATTGTCTATTAAATAAAACTAAAAAATTAAACAAATGATCAAACTATAATGGTCTCAATATCTTTTAGATTTAATTGGAATAATTTGGTATTTTAATTTGGCCATTTACACGACTAAATTAAATTCTAATGGACAATATAATTGTATACTAATTACAAATTTTTAAAATAAAATAAATTTTTTATTATTGATTTTATTTTAATAAATGATACAATAGAACATGAATTTTGATTGTAAATTTAAAATATTTGATTGGTGTATTTTTTGTCTAAGTATAATATTTTAAAGTTAAAGGGTTTAAGTATTATATACTCATAAATTTTAGGAGAGTCTAAATGTAATTTATTAAAGAATATATTTACAACAAGAGACTAAGTGTTACATGTGTATAAATTTTAGAGGGTCTGTGTATAATATTTTAAATGTCAAGGAGTTTGATTGATTAAATGATAAATTTTAAGAGGTATAGATGTAATTCCTCCTAAATTTAGAGACGTCAAATTATGGACAAAATTACAATTACCCATTCCTTCTAAATTCAAATTTTACAAATATTTTAGAGTTAGGACACCTGAGATTTAATTCTCGTGAAAATTTTAACTCAACGTGGATAACCTGATTTTGATCAAATCAGAGAAAAATTAGTCGGTACACGTAAATTGATTCAAACACTTTTCACCGTTAGGATAAAAAAAAAATTACACTTACATTCCTAAATTACGTGGCTGCTAAAATATTATGAACAATTATTTTCTCATGTTACACTTAAAATCTTAATTTGAGTTTCACATTATTCAAATTTATCTAATTTTCACAGAAAATCATGACAAAAATGGAATCTCACCATATTAAGAGATATGAAATTTCCCTTATCAGTCGATTAGAATTTCATTTTTTTTTCTCTTATTTGCCATGAATAATTGAATAAAAGTCGATGATTAGGATGATGTGAAACCCAAACTTATTATTTTTCTGTATAAGAAATTGGATTGTTAGGGTACAATCGGGAATGAGCAATTAAAAGATTTTGAATTTTCAAAAATAGGATTGTTATGGGCAAATTATACTTTCTACACTAAAAAAAATTAAGAATTATCATTTTATGCCCTAAAAAATTTAAGAATTTTTATATTGTACTCTCAATGCATCAAAAGTATTACAATATAAACTTGTCATTAGTGTTTTTGTCACTCATTGCGTCAATGTCAATAGAGGAGCGGTTGACGGAATAATCAAGTAAAATTAACGGAAGGGTCACGTTATAATATTTTAATATATATATATATATATATAATATGAAAAAATTTAATCAATACAAAAAAAAATTAAGTTTTTCAAAATACAAAGTGAAATTCTAGTGAAAAAAGTTCAAAAAAATATTACAAAATCCCAACAAAGTGTTAAGTCACCCAATCAGAAATTGACACACACATGGATTAATCTTTTTTCCCGATTTGATTAAAAGAAGATCAATCATATCGAACTCTCTTAAAACTTGGTTTAAGAGGTTGTGAAGATTTCAATTTTAAACAACTGCCAGTATTACTACCATTTTGTTGACTTTTATTCGCCCAATGAGAAAGAGGGTAGTTAGGTGTACTACCCACACAATTTAAGAAGCCAAAGGGTGGTGCCTCAGCTCTTTGCCGCCTCTCTCAGCCCAATTCGAAACACTCGAGAAACAGAGATATGGTTGCAACGGCTACACCCACTTCGCTTTTGTGCGCTTCTCTTCCCTACCAAGGTTCGCCATTGAATCCCCTCAACCAGTTCGTTCACTCTCTCCCTCAGCCCTCTTTCTCTCTCTCTCTGACATTGTTTTTAATGGTTGTATATAGCAGGGTTTTGTGGTTCAACTCAGAGCTTGCAGTGGAGAAAGAACGAGGTAAGCTACTGCATTTCTAAACTTTCTTCTTGAAATGTTGGCAAAATTAGATTATCCGTCTAATTATAAGTTATGTTTGCGATATTTTCCGTAAAAGAAAGATTGGTCTAATTCAAGTGGGAAATCGACTGCATGAGCAAAAATATGAATGAATGGTGTTTGGTAAAATGCTTCTTCCAGGAGTTGGAATTTTGGACTATCATGAGAAGAGGCTAGACTCTTTGCGCTTGATATGTGCTCGTCTTTCTAACTGCATCGTATTCAACGTGACCCTTACAGTACTGTGGTTGCCAAATCAGCAGCAATTCTTCCTGTCTATCAAGAAAATATTCAATGCAACTGTTACCTCACGTCGATAATGTCCTGTGATGTCCGCCGGATAATAAGCCAACAACTGGGCCAGTAAACCCCACAAAATTTATTAACTAATCATCAATCCATGTAATATAATAACTATCCTATATAAAGAAGTGGGTTCACCTTGGATGGTGATAGTACGTGGCAGTATTGACTGCTAACATTAATGAAGAAATTTGTGTTTTGCAGACACGGTTTATGAGGAAAGCTGGGCCCATTCAAGTTACTGCAAAAATTCAGCTAAAGCCGCCTCCATACCCACTGGTAAAAAATTCAAAAATTTCGAGATTGTCTTCTTCTTTCATCTTGTCCAAAACATTAAATTTTTCTTTCTATCTCTTTCTTGAATTATGGTTATACAGTGCAGTGCAGTCAAGCTAAATGTGTTTTGATCAGCATTGATGCATTTTGTTAGGTTTTTCTCAATCAGGGTTCTTAACAGTATCTTGAGAAGCAGATTTGATTACCTAGCCTTATGTTTGACCTTATATTAGCCTTGTTTAACATATGAAGAGAATTAAAGAAATCAATAGAAATATCAAAAGCTCGTGGTGATTTTACCAAACACTGCAAATTCTTTGAAATTGTTGAATCAATATTGCTCGTTGGCATCATTTTAAATTTATAATGAATGGATACTTGGCAGAATGCTTTGGAGCCACATATGAGCTGCGAAACATTAGAGTACCATTGGGGGAAGCACCATAGAGGTTATGTGGAGAACTTAAACAAGCAAATAATGGGAACTGAACAAGATGGATTGACTTTGGAAGACATAATACTTGTTACCTATAACAAAGGAGATCTCCTTCCAGCCTTTAACAATGCTGCACAGGTATGCAAATCATGTAAGCCTTCTATTCAATCTCTTTCTGGTGAACCATGAGATTAGCTTTTCATAATGAAATTTCTGAATTTTCACTAGATTTTGGGCTTGTTGATAATCTCCATCTCTGTAGATGAAGTAGATTTGCAATTTATGGTTTAATCCTGTAATGTTTAATTATGTTTTGAATTTTTTTACCCAACTGAAGATCTGGAACCATGATTTTTTCTGGGAGTCTATGAAACCAAGCGGTGGAGGAAGGCCATCTGGAAATCTTCTCGAACTGATCAACAGAGATTTTGGTTCTTTTGAAGGATTTGTCGAACAGTTCAAGTCAGCTGCAGCCACACAGTTTGGTTCTGGCTGGGCTTGGCTTGCATGTGAGTGGTTTCCTTGCCCTCTTCCTATAGAGGGCATTTGTTTTGCATTCCCAATGATATTCTGTAATCCTAGCTAAATATTATATGAGATGATTGCTCTGTATTTCTTGTTTTCTAGACAAAGCGAATAGACTCAATGTTGGAAATGCTGTGAATCCTCGTCCATCAGAAGAGGACAAAAAGCTAGTGGTAGTGAAGAGTCCCAATGCCATAAACCCCCTTCTCTGGGATTACTCTGTAAGTACTTATGGCTGATCAAGTTTTCTTATTCTCATATGTGGATGATATCAGTTTGGATTTACAACAGTAGATCGTTTTAGATTATTATCCTTGAGAATCTCATGATATTGTTGTTTCCCAATTGTTGCAGCCTCTCCTTACGATAGATGTTTGGGAGGTAACTCAATATATTGACAACTTACACCTGATTGCTTCCCTTTTTTTTTCAATTTTCTGAGACAATTATATTTAAATACTGACTAATTTTTCTTACATTTGATTTCTCATGACAGCATGCTTACTACCTCGACTTTGAGGTAATGCGTAGTTGATGAAATAAGATTATGACTAACAACTTTCATGAAAGACTGCTGTATATACCACGACAAAAGTAGCATTTCTGATGTTTCTTCTCACAGAACCGACGGGCTGAATATATATCAGTTTTTATGGAGAAGCTTGTATCATGGGAAACAGTCATTTCCAGGCTAGAAATGGCAAAGGCTCGAGCTGTAGAGCGGGAAAGAGAGGAAGAGAGGAGGAAAAGAGAGGAAGAAGAGGAGAGTGCAGCAGGCAGTGAAGCTGTAGAGATGTACTTGGAAAGTGAGACAGATGATTCAGAGGCTGAATGATTTTTGCTACTTCAATTGTTTGCTGTTAAAGTACCTACAATGAACTTGATTGTGGCATAGAGATCACCTAAAGCGGTATAAGTATAATCAAGATTGACATGTTTTGCAACAACACCCTGTTCTGATGGTTCTTCCAGATGTACATTTTTCTATTTGGAATGAGCAGAAATGTACTATGTACTATCAAGTTAATACAATTCTATTGACATTCATTCAAATTTTACATTGGCGAGAACCTTGTGCAATGAGCTTAGCTTAGGATAGCAGATACAACGAGTATTGATGTGATCAGGATCAAGTGTCCACAAATTCAATGTTCATGGTGGAACATGGGGCAGTTGAAGAAATGGGAAGCATTAAAAGATGATCAAGTTCTTCAAGAGCTCCACCGTGAACAATGGACTCGTGGCCCCCACAGATTTAAGAATAATGAAATGCATACGTGAAATAAAACGCTTGTAATGCAAAACAAAATCGAAGCAACAAATTTCATGTTATTCAGAAATTTAGTACACATAATGATCCTTAAACTATGAATTTTCTTTTTCAAATGTGCCCCCTTTTCTTTGAATTGTTTCAATTTGACGCTTGAATTTTTGTAACGTTTCAATCAATCCCTTTCATTCATTTTTTTTTTTTTTGGTTTGTTAGAATGTGTTTAGGTTTGTGCCAAGTACTCCCTCGACCTCAACGATTGGCCAATGTTACTTAAATTGGGCTAGAACATGTTCATAAAGGGACAATGACAGTTAACTCTTTGAAAACGTGAAAAGAGATTGAACCTAACACCTCTAAGTTACTAAAGATCAAACTCTAAAGATCAAACTCATGTTCATTCAACTGCTATCGTTAGGAGCAAAATAAGAATATAAAGTTTCTACAACTTTAATAATCGCTCATTTCTATGTCTAAAACCTTAATTTCGTCATATAAGAATGTTGTAGATGCGAGAATTAACAATTATCACTTTGGTAAGATTTTGTATCCTCATTCTAACCCCTACCAATAGCACATGATTCTTGCATGGGTAAAATTGTCCAAATTGATTCCTAAATTAGGAGAAAATATAAAATTCAATGGTGATAAATATTAAAATGATATCACCAACCAATAATAAATTCTAAATAAACAAAGTAAACCTCACTTGGATAACTTTTTTTTTCCTAAAATAGGCCAAAGAGATCAATTGAAACGATTTTAAAAATTCAAGGGCTAAATTGTAATAATTGAAAGTTATTTAACGATATTTTAAGTCTGGGTTTTTTTCACTCTTTTGTGTAGTTTAGAGCAGACCCGTTTCAGGTTTTGAGTGGTGACGTGATCAATTTCATGGCTGCCACTCCCAGTTCGCATAGACGAAGAATCTCTCTCTTCAGAAGTCTATTCCTTGAATCCATTCGAAAGTGTCCCTTTCCATACCTATCTCCGCTCAGATACTATTCTTCAGAACCACCTAATCACAACATCGCCACCGTTGACGACGATGACCACCTCAGTGTCAAACCCAAATCATCAACCAAAACCAAAAGGGCCAAAACTATGGCTCGTCTCATCAACAATAAACCCTGGTCATCAGACCTCGAATCGTCTCTCACTTCTCTCTCTCCCACTCTCTCCAAAACTACCGTCCTACAAACTCTCCGCCTTATTCGTACCTCATCCAATGCCCTTCATTTTTTCGACTGGACCCAACAAAATGGATTCACCCACGACGACCAATCTTTCTTCCTCGTGCTCGAAATCCTCGGCCGAACCAGGAACCTCAATGCCGCTCGGAACTTCCTCTTCTCAATCCCAAGAAGGTCAAATAATTCCATAGGGCTCGTAGACAAGTACTTTAATAGTTTGATTCGAAGCTACGCTCGAGCCGGGTTGTTCCAGGAATCGATGAAAGTGTTCTCGAAAATGAGAGAAACGGGTATTTCACCTTCCGTTGTTACTTTCAATAGTCTTTTCTTAATTTTGCTTAAACGTGGTCGAACTGGGATGGTATATAACCTGTATGATGAAATGCTTAGTACGTATGGTGTTGCGCCGGATACATTTACTTTTAATATTTTAATTAGAGGGTTTTCTATGAATTCAAAGGTTGATGAAGGGTTCAGGTTTTTCAAGGAAATGAAGAGGTTTAAATGTGACCCTGATGTTGTTACTTATAATACTCTTGTTGATGGCTTGTGTAGGGCTGGGAAGGTGAAAATTGCGCATAATGTGATAAAGGGTATGCTTAAAAAGGATTTGAATTTGAAACCTAATGTTGTCTCTTACACAACTTTGATTAGGGGGTATTGTGGTAAACAGGAGATTGACGAGGCTTTGGATGTTTTTAGAGAGATGGTTGACCACGGTCTAAAGCCGAATAGAATAACTCACAACACTCTTATACAAGGCCTTTGTGAAGCACAAAAACTTGATAAGATAAAGGAAATTTTTGAGGGAACTGGAGGGGATGGAGTATTTGTTCCAGATACTTGTACCTTTAACACATTGATGAATGCTCATTGTAACGCTCAAAATTTGGATGAAGCATTGAAAGTTTTTGAGAAGATGACGGAGTTAAGGGTCCGACCAGACTCAGCCACATACAGTGTTTTGATTAGGAATTTGTGTCAGAAAGGGGATTTTGAGAGAGCAGAGCAGCTATTTGATGAGCTAGCAGAGAAGGAGATATTGTTACTTGATGTTGGATGTAAGCCTCTTGTTGCTGCATACAATCCCATGTTTGAGTATTTGTGTAGAAATGGGAGAACTAAGAAAGCTGAGACAGTGTTTAGGCAGCTAATGAAAAGAGGAACACAGGACCCTCCTGCTTACAAAACTTTGATCATGGGGCATTGCAGGGAAGGTAACTGTAAGGCTGCACATGATCTCTTGGTTTTTATGTTGAGGAGAGACTTTGTGCCTGATGTTGAGACTTACGAGTCCCTCATTGATAGTCTGTTGCAAAAGGGTGAACCTAATCTTGCCCATGATACTTTGGAGAGGATGCTGAAAAGCTCTCATATTCCCAAGACATCTACTTTTCATTCAATTCTTGCAGAACTTGTCAAAAAGGGCTCTGCTCGTGAATCTGCTAGCTTAGTGGCGTTAATGCTAGAGAGAAAAATTAGGCAAAACATTGATCTCTCAACAGACACTGTGACACTACTCTTCAAGAGTGGCTTACGGGATAGGGCCTTTGAGATTGTTCGGGATCTCTATGGGAACGGCTATAAAGTGAAGATGGAAGAGTTGGCTGTTTTCCTTTGCCAGAGTAGAAAGTTATTAGAGGCTCATGAATTGTTGCTATTTAGTTTGGAGAAGGATAAAAATGTTAAATTAGAAATATGCAGCACGGTTATAACTGGTCTTTGTAAAATTCGTAAAGTTTCTGAAGCATTTGGTCTTTATTATGAACTGTTAGAGAACAAAATTGAACCACGTTTGAGCTGCCTAAAAGAGTTGAGAATTGCTCTTGAAGCTGAAGGAAGATCAAAAGAAGCTGAATTTGTTGCTAAGAGGATGCTAAAGCCGCGGTGGGACAAATCTCCTTCAATTTCCAAGCTTGAGCCAACCGTGGCCATATCTTGACACTTGTACATCTTTGTTGCTAGGAGTTAATCCAACTTCAGAAGGAAGACGACCCAAAAAAAACCTGGAATGTAGGTCGCTAAAAGGAACAAATTCTTCTCGCCCTTAAATTATTCTCTCACCAAGTAGTTTGTTGAGGTAACCATGTGTGGAGGTAAGGGGGCCCATTCTGAACCCCTTCTTGAGGGCCTTCCGCAAAGATTATATAGATCGGAAGTGACAACCGATTCTCAATGCTATCTTTGGGACCCCTCCCATAACTGTGATAGAGAATACACCACTTTTTTGGGTCTTACTGATATTGGGAATTCACAATAAATTTATGTGGCAATTCTGTCCCCAGCAGAACCTAGCATCATCATCTGGCAGTGGCTCTGGTCCATTGTAGTACCCCCAGTTTGATTGTAGAGTTCATGGGATTGAGATGAGCCTCCATATCTGTTCCTCACAAGCATATTTGGTGCAACTGGAACAAAGAATCTACTGATGAGAACTTTTGGCCGCATGACTTCTTGTTACATTGGATGCCAAGTACAAAATCCTTCTCATTGCCTGGGAATTTCCCCCTCTGAGCTGGTGTTGGTACAATACTGATGGAAGTTCCTTGAAGGAGGAGGATAAGACTGGGCCTGGGGTACTAGCAAAATTCCTGAATCCAAATGGGAGAAGCCTGACAATAAATTATCTCAGAGATTTTGTTTTTCAAGTAGTTGTGATGTGTTCATCTGCAGACATCTCTGAATTTGTATTTGCGTCGTTGAATTATACTGTCTTCAACCTAATTTCCTATGATCTATGGATTCTGAAAGAGATTGTACGTTAGCAATTACGGGCACCAAAATTCGAAAAAAGGGCTCCATGAGTGATACACATCTGTATACAAGGTGGCACCTCTAACATAGACCAACAAAATCTGTTTTTTCACTCTCTTCAACGCTATAAGGTCGATATTTGCTCCCTAAACCTTAGCTCCAAAGAACATATACATGGAGCTGTGTTGATTTATGTACGTCTCGTTAACTAAACAATCAGGTACTCTTTCTCTGGGAAAGAAAAAGTTACTAGAATGAAATGAAAAATTCACTCCTCTGTCCATCATCTTATGGGGATGCCTTCAAAGACAACAGGCCATCTAATTCTGAAACACTTAGGCTGGCTGTCTTTGGTGGACCAAAAATCTTCCAGAAGCGTAGAGTCTCGTCTGCTCCAGCTGACACCACAGTTAATCCATCTGGGCTCTGCAACAAATTAACGAAGGGCGTAAATATTAAGTACCCTCACAGTAAATTCTCACGAGTTGCTCAATTCGATCTCTTATACCAATTTAAGGGACTAAGCCAGACCTGGGAAAGGTGGAGAAGTCTGGATGAATATTGTTGCATTGATTCTCCTATTTTAGACATGGAAGGGTACCTCCACAGGCACAGTTGGTTGCTATGATCATTTCTGCTAAAACCATGGCCGCTTAATATCTCCTTATGATGCCTGTTCCATTCCAATCCACAAATCTGTTTACATACCACCAAATTAGAATCGATAATACAGAATTGAATTACGCTACAGAATCTACGGGTATTCAACCAGAATCATCAAGTCATGACTGAATAGCATCATTGCTGAGGAAGAACAGGATCAAACTGTAGCACCAGGCAAATTTGTAAAAGAATAAAACAATGAAACAATATTTGTTCTTTAGAATAAATTCATGGAAAAGTCAATTCACCCATTTAGCATTATTATTATCTCAAAGACTGAAAAAGCAAGCTGACTTGCCTGAGCATTGGTGTCGACGCTGCTAATGCATGTCCCCTTTTGTGTGTTCCATAACTTAATACACCCATCTGCGATGCCACCTCCAGAAGCTAGTACATCAGAGTCATATGGGCACCATGAAAGAGCCTTGACAGCAGCACAATGGTTGTTGAACCGGTGCATAAAATGGTTTGAGCCCATTTTGAGAGAATCCCAAATGTGAACGACATTGTCATCGCCACCACTGGCCAATTTTTTGCCACTCCTTGACCATTTCAAGCCACAAACTTCCTTGGAGTGTGCTTCTAACCGAGATGTCAAACTGTTTCTTGCTCTAACTGTCAACAACAGCACACAGTAAAGAAGATCCAAATCTAAACATCTTTGTATTCCCCGATTATTAAAATTTCAAAACGAAAAACACTGGAAAGAAATTGATTTTTAGTACCATCATGATTGATGATGGATTTGTCATGGCTCCCGGATGTCAGAATGTGATCATTCCATGCGATGGTTCCTACTCTTTTCTCATGACCATCTAAATTTCTGACCTGTGTATATTAGAGAGAGAAAAACAATACAATCAATTCTATGCCTATGGATGCTATGACAGTTCATTTTGTCCTAAAATTCAGAGAAAGGTCATACAAGTTTGCCAGTCTCAGCATCCCAGAGCAGAATTTGGGAGAACATATGTCCAGCTGCTAGTATTTTGGCATCATCTGACCATGCTACACTGGTAGGGTAGTTATCCCCTTGGAATACAGACAACAATTTGTGAATCTTTGAATTCTCAGCATTCCACAGGTATAACTCTGAACCTAGAGCAATAGCAACAATGTTGATCTTCCCCCAATCCATGATGTTCAGATAGTAATCATCCTTTATCTTTGGCGCATCCAGTATCCGAGTTTCTCTCTGCACACATCATTATGTCAGGCTATTTGAAGCGTTAAAGTCAGATTTTGACTAGAAACCCTTCTGATGAAGAAAACTTACAGTTGCAGTAATTCAAGAGTCATCTCTCTCCAATTCAGTTATTGAAGAACACATTAACATTGGTATATAACTAACAGCTTCAACCGAATTTTCCAGGGTTTGGACATGTGAGTGAGTGTGAAAAAAAAAAGGCAATCGATGTAATATGCTTGGAAACAAATGCTGGCCATCAAAAACTACTAAGATGATCTCCAGCTAGTGTTGGACACTATTCATGAGTTTATAAACAACCTCTTCCAAAAATTCTTACACAGTTAACAAAAAAAATTTACTGAGGATTAGAACACAAACTCATGGCATCGAATGTTAAAAATTGGTATGACTAGAAGAGACTCAATACCACAGACAATGTAATTTCTGGCTGTATACCTTTGGAAAGCTTCGATGTTGTTTGTGCTTATTATTGTAACTATTAAGGTCCTCATCACTGCGTCGCATTTCATCAATGAGACGGCCTGATTTTCTACTTGATTTGGGGCTTCCCCTAAAAACCAGCATCCGCAATGGTCTTCCTTCAGAATCCAAGGTCAGATTCTCCTCCAACTTGCGTCGATATTCGTCCTGCCACAAGGAAACAAACCAAATTAATCAACCACAGCTTAAAATTTTCATCATTTTCTTCATCCAACACATTGAAAACCCGAAATCCTAGAAACCACTGATTAATTTCAAGAGATTCTTCTAGCCACAACCAAATACATTCAGCAACCTATAAACCCATCAAGGAATTTCAATTTCTTCTTCCCAAAAACAAGAAAAACCAAGAACTAATGCACCAAGTTTTAGGGGAACCTAATTACCCACCAAGAAAATGCAACAAAAATTGAAACCCATGTGCAAACATTCAAGAAACAGTCAAAAAAAAAAAAAAACGAGAGACACTAACACTGAATTTAGGTTTGCTCTCTTCTTTACTAGTTCTATTTGTCAATAAACTGTGGGCTTGATCAAGATCCATCAAACTCCTGTTCGGTATAAACCGATCTCCCTTCAACAATACAAAGAAAACAAAACCATTAATTAAACGAAATCTTTGAAGAATGTAATAGTTTGTGTGTGTGTGAGAGAGAGAGAGAGAGAAGAAGAAGAAGAAGAAGAAGAAAAGGGTGTTTGTACCGGAAAGTCGTAATCCACGGGAGTGGTGAGGCGAGTTGGAGAGTGCCAATCGGATTGAAGTCTCCACATGGCGTTTTCATGCATTGATGGACAGAGTTTAAGAAACCCAGAAAAAGAGTTAGAATCTTTTTTGGTCGTTCGGGTCTAAAGAACAAGGACTATACTTATAAAGACCGTTAGTTTCGCGCCAGAAAATATGTTTGCTTGGTTTCTATAACGAAGACGACCGTTGGTTTTGTCTTCGCTAACCGTCGCAAGTTTTACAATTGTACTTTTGAAAGCGGAAAAGAAAACTTACACGAGTGTGAAATGAATGGGTTTTAATGAAAAAATCGGTGAAATTCACTCATTTAACAAAGGATTACATCCATTCGAATTATAATTTTTTAAATTTCATTTATATTTTGTAGTATTACTAAAAAAAAAACATTTTTACTATAAAATAAAATTAAGGGGTTAGGGTAAATATTACCATACCTTTCAATGGATCGGGTTTGAATTTGATAATATGATAAAAGTCTGATATGATAATCTAACTGTTTTTTAACTTTTATAATTCATGTTCGAATTTATTAATAATACGAAATCCAATTTAAAATTCAATCTGAATACCTTAATTAACTAAATTTTAACAAATAACACTTAAATTTTAACTAAGTTTTTTTAATTAATCACTTGATTTATATATATAAATTTTAATCCGTAAAATATAAGATTTCAAATTTGAATTATTAATATAAATATTAATTCATGTCTGACCAATCCATTTTAAATTAGAATCCATAGGAGGCCCACTTGGACCTTTTAAGTTTGTCAAAATGCCACAATCGTTTCATGAAGATGTTCTACTTTTGGAAATTTATAGCTGGAGACCATTTTTGAAGTTTAAAACATTTTATATAAGCCAAAAAAATATTTAAAATATCAATATATTCGTATTTATTTCTCCTTGGAGAAAAACTAATCTCATTCCAAATTTAATTCACGCAAACACAAAATGAAGCTCATATCCAAAAAGCACACTTACACTAGCATATACACATATACATATATATATATATCCGATGATGTAACCACTCAAATTGATTAGTTTAGTGATAAATCTTTGTTTACAATCGTCCATGTAATTATCAAATATTGTTCAATTTAAAAGAGTAACATGATTTACTACTTAATTTTAGCTTTGTTGTGCGACAGACTACCTTTTCAAATTAATAAGTATAGGTCAAATCAAATATTTTACGGTCGAGAAAACTCTCGTAATCAGGATAACCTACTGGTCGCTCCTCCAATTTTAACCGGCAAAAAAAAATCTAATGATGTCATGGGGGTGACATGGCGTGTTGGCTTGAATTGTGGTTTTGGATTGGCAAGGTCCCGGGAGTGTGAGGGTGATGGAACAAGTAGCTATGAAAGAGCCAAAGAGAAAGTAAACGGAAAGCGGTGGAAACAAAGCCCCAGATGTAGGAAACGTCAAACCCAGAACAAGATCATCTATAAGAACCTGAATCTCCAGGATAAAACTCCTCAGCTACAAGTTTTCTTTTTTTTTTGGGAGTAAACAGATCATTCCGGTATTATTTCCTTCTGTTGGAGATTTGCTCCTCGTTGCTAGGGTTGTTTCTACATCGTATCTTTCTCTTGTTCAGCTGGAAAAAAAGACTACAAAGCACGCACCATGTAGTTTCTCGCTAGCAGTGTCGTTCTGGGGAACAGAATCTCTCCAGCCCCTATCAGAACATTTATGGGTTCAAGAAGAGTTGGCCTTCCAACTTTCCATACTGTAGAAATAGCAAAACTGTAATAATCAACTGAACAACACAACAGTGCCAAAAGAACAAAATGAACACACCACAAAAGCAAGAAAAACATTATCTGAAAGAAGCACATAAATAGTCTGGAGTACAAAAAACCAGGTTCTCTCAAAACACATCGAAATCCAACTTCTGGAGATAACTTCTGCCACTGACTGGCAGTTACAACCTAAACATAATAAGAAGAAACAAAGAAATAGACGCGCACTAGAGAGAGGAACTGTGGCAAACATTAAAAATGGTTCCACGGTGATGGTTCATCCCCACAAAGGTTTACCCTCTTTTGCAATATCATCCATGATACATTTTTGTATCCGTTTCACGACAAAGAAATACTGTCAAAACAACGTCAGAATCAGTCAGACATTTGATAAAATTTCAAAGCAATTACAAAGAGGAACACAACAATTCCACAAGTCCATAAGCTTACCTGAAATGCTAAAATAAGAGGAATCAATAATTTCCCTCTGTCGTTCGGGTTTGGACCTTCGATCAACTTTTTGTCAACCAAAATACCCTTGCTTCCATTTGAAACAGCATCCGTAATTGTTTTGACCAAATTGGGAATCCAAGTTGTTCCATCTGGAAGAATCTGTAATTCACATAACCCTTCATCTCTCAAATCCCAAGGTAGCATCTCAATTATATTAAACAAATAAACCAATAAGCATTGGAAAGCCAAACTGATGAATGAAAAGGATAACCTACCTTTTCATCACTTTCATTCTTATTACATCTCCCACTGTTCTCAACTAGAACAACAGGAATAGACGAACCCTAGAAGCAACAACAAAATAGAAAAATGAGATTTAGCAAGAGAAAAATCAGGAGAAAATTGATCAGACTGATGACCATATCATGTCCATATCATGAACAAGACAATCATTGCAAAAATGTAGAATTCCAAACAAAGTAAAGATGATGAAGCAGAAAAACCAGAGAATACATAAAGGCGATGTTAGTTAGTACAGGTCTACACAACAAACTTGTTGTATTCATGTTAAGTGAAAACATAAAAACAAGAATAAATAAAGAGCCAAATGTAATAAATAATAAATAAAAAAAATTGACTGGTCTCAGAAAATATAACATACCTGAATATCTTGTTTCCTTATCCGAGCTCCCAGACGCACAATTTTTAAGAGTGCCTCTGATCTTCTTGTGAAGAACTCCTCATAACTCAATCCATCTGGTGGTGAGAGTTGAGCATGTGTCAGGACAACTAACCCTCTACGCCATATTTCTCTACCGAAACTATCTGTTATAGCCTTGACAACCTGCCTATCCAAGGTATCCACCCTATATGCATCCAATCGGTCCACATAAAGCAAAACATCTATCGTCTTGTTCAAAAGGAACCTGTTCAGATAGCCAGCCCCACAACTTAGAAGTCATTGCCCCAAACAGACATTCAAAATACATAATTCAACATTCACAACACTGACACTGCAACAACAGTAAATAACAGGTAAAAAAATGCACTAACACTACAAATTTCACCTGGTGAAACTGTGAAGCTAAAATATACGAACCTTTTGATGATGTCAAGTGCCTGATCATTGACATATCCTCCTTCAACAAGCCCTGGAGTGTCAATAATATTCAGCGTAAATCCAGCCCGTGAGCGTGAGACCATCACAGGTCTTGGTCCTTCAGACTACACAATTGCGGAACATCTATGATCAATATATAAATAACAAACTTGGAATTCATCTTATTAGCTGTCATTCTGCAATGCACCTTGACAGATTTAAATACCTGGAAAGCACTGACAGCTACAGCTCTCTCCCCTATGATAGAGTTCACGGTTGAGGATTTTCCAACACCGCCTTTCCCCATCACAAGGATTGTCAACGTGCTCACATTCTACAATTTCATGTGACAAATATAAATATATAGAATTCACAACTAACGACGACCTGTGTACTGTAAGCAAGTTACTCCACGAACACGAAGGGCATCCCCAAGTTGCTCAATTCATGGTAAATGGTATTCAATAACATTGTTTAGTTCGTTTGCTGAGTATTATGTAACATGTGAACGAGTTCAGAAACAAATCCACCCAAATGAAGCTCAAGTAAATAATTCACTTTGTTGAGTCAGGTGATTATGGGTTTTTTTCCCTCTGAACTTAGAAATTTTACTATTTTTTCCTTTTCTTTTGCTCTCTTTTCTTTGTAACAAAATACAACATGTATAAGATTAACATGAAGACTGGGGCAGAGAGAGAGAGTAAAACCTCCTGCTTTAGTTTTCCCAACAGTTCGTGCAATTTGGTTTGTGTGGCAGGAGGGAATTGCTGAATTCCAGTCCATTCTCTAATTAACTGAGACGCCATGAGGAGCTGCCCAAGAAAGATAGAACAACTTCCAATTAATACACAAAACCCAATACTAATACAAAATCATACAGACAAAATCTACAGAAATTTGGGGGTAAAAAGTTCGGAATTGAGTTAAACCTGAATGCAAAATGTACAGTACAGCTAAATCCTCGTTTCTTAGGGCTTCTTGGTGTTTAACATATTAGTTGCAATTAAAAACAAGAAGAAACAACAGAGGGAAATTTCAGTAAAACCCTAAACCCTACAAGCATTCTTGATTGCTTACGATAAGGTTAATAACAATCACAAAAAACAACGACGAAAGGTTACTTAGATGGTCGAGTCACCTGCTTCTACTTCTCTGGGCACAATCAAAACTAGAGAGCTTCGATTACAACGAAGAAACCCCAAAGGGAAAGAGATGGGTTTTAGCGCCTTCACACTAGCTAAGCTTTGCTGCTAGCTGTACGCCTGTATGAGACGAGACGGCCTTATCGTCTTCGATTTTGGAACTGTCCACCGTCTCTCTCTCTCTCTGTCTCTCTCTCTCTCTCTTGTGAGTTGTGTGAGGCGTGATGTGGACCGTGGGCTAGGAATACATAGGACGAGTATGATTGAGGGTTGGTTCGTTGGAGGCAAATCAGATTGTGATGTTTGACTTAAGGCCCATGGATGACCCAGTTTGAGATCCAGGGTAGGAATTCGATATTTCACCTTTTTAGTCATTGATTTTACACGTAGCATATTTTTATTAGTTAAAAAATAAAAATTATAATACTAGAAAAGTATATTTTTGTGCCGTAATAAAATTTTGAACCCGTCGCTAAAGGCTCAATTTTTGGCGATATATCTATTTTATCGTAAAAGATAAAACTAATTTACGGCAAATATATTTTTTTAATTAAGATTCAAACATAGGAGTGACATTCATATATATATACACGATGGACGAGTGACGATTGACAATTAACTTTAAAATAAATTGAGGAAAAAAATATCAAAAACGAACCTCCCTCCTCTGATTTTGATTCTTATGTGGATCTACCAAAAGGTTTTTCTTTTTCATTATATATGGTGGGCTACGGCGTATTTATTGACCTTATAAACTCCAAGAACTATTAAAGTTTTCATTTGTTTTTTTGAGAAGAAATAGCGTTGGCTCTTGTCATGGTGAGTTATTTTTGGTTTGATTGCATTCTTGTTCGTGGTAGGAAGTGAGGTAGAGAGAATGAAAGTGAGAAACCTTGGCTCATTTTCGAGGCTTATACTCCTAAATATATACATTATGGAACTCTCAATCAACAGGTTTTATCAACAGATTCGAGTATAGGATCAACGTTAAAAAAAGTTATCCATCTTTGGTGGTGAAGGCTAAGTAGGGTCAATCACGGGACAACCTAAGTTTATGATTAAAATCTTCGACTAATGACTTATTGCGACCTGCCTAGATTGCCCATACATACTAAAACCTTTTTTTTTTTGGTGAACAGATTGGCATAACCATTATATTAATCATAACTACAGTGGATTACAATCATTTCTAAGCATATATGGTCCTTAACTCACTAGGTGGATTGCCTATCCAGTTGCTTGGGAGTTTCTTTAGTGAGCAGCTCCATTTCCACTTCTAGGTACATAGTTAAGCTTTAAAGACAATCTCTTAGCAATAGGTCTAATGTCAGAGAAGAAAGCTGCAACTCGCCAAGGTGGGACTCTTTCTATGGCGTTGAATTGAATGATTTTTGTATTATCATTATCAATTATGGCCGTTTCGGTCTCCATACATACTATGACCATGTTCACACAGCGCAAAACAAACTCTTGTGTTATTTTATCTTGAACCCACTAAAAAAGAAACCTTCTCACTTGGACACTCAATTATTGTAGCTAAAAATGCTATTATTTATAATTTTGATGGTATGCTTAACGAATAAAGCACGCTTCTAATGAAATATTTCATCGTACTACTACCAACTCATTTATATATTTCAAGCAATGAATTAAAGGATTCTTTATACTATTCTCGTTCTTTAATTACCCATTTTGGGTGGTTTGATTTTCACAATTTACGAAGACCAATGCTTCTTAAACAAAAAATGTTGATAATATTTAATCACTATCATTGATTTAACTATGGGTGTCAATATTTATTAAAAATCATTACTTATTCAATAATGGTAATAGAAGAAATTAGGGAAAGGTGTAAATATTTTTTATCAAAATAATATTTTTCATATACGAAACAATTTAACTATAAAGTAACTTCCTGAAAGCACCTCACCCACTCAGATATCAATTAAATCAATGTTTTTTTATAATTCAAATACACAATCTTGGATCCACATGAAAATGAAAGGGAAAATTCTCTAAAATATTATTGGCTAACTAATATTGTAGAATAAAATACACTATTCTTGTATCTCAAAAATAAAGATAAAAAAATTGATAATCTTGCTCTTGGGCGGGGTGGATGAGTCAACATTCAGCGTAACGATTACACCACATTAGTATTGTCATGTAGTATCACTGTCTAATGTCACGTGATATCACCATCTAATGATAAATAATCAAATGGACAAGGTAAACTCCACTTCTTTACATGGGATAATTATTATTCTACATGAAAGGATAGCTACTTAAAAGAGAGAGATTTACTTTGTCCACTTGCCTTATCATTGAACGATGATAATATTGCCGTGGTGTAAGGGGGCTTTTAGGGGTGGGAGAGGGTTTTAGAGGGGGAGGGGGGTTGGGGTTAGATGGTTGCAGGGAGGAGGTAGGTTGGGGTGGTAGTTCCGGGGGTTGATAGGTAGAGATTCGTGTAAATCACGTGCAATGCACGGGTTACCCTCCAGCCTCTGCAAAATTTCAAACCCAAGCAAAAAGGCTTCAACAGTCGAACAACATTTCGAAAGAAACATAACTGCTGACAAAATAGATAGGGCAAAGTCGAACCAAAGCAATATAAGAAGAGTCTATAGATTTAAATACAAAAGGAAGCAATATACAAAAACCTCAAAAGCTAAAATAATATTATGCAGTGGTTTCTTATCACATACAAACAAAAAGGGCAGCTCCTAGACAAATTACAAATACTTTGTTGCCCACCCCAACCCCAAGCCAAGTTTCTAGCCTATGTCGTTACAGAGTATATTCAAATGTTCACTGATGAAAACCTGAGACTACCAGACTTCTCTACAGAATCGTAACCACACACAAATACCCCCAGGAACACACCATATGGCAGCAGGAAAGGAGAAAGAGAAAAGAAACATTTGTCTTGAATCAAAACTCACTCGTGTTAGGTCATGGAGAAGGGTATGTGTTAAAACTTACAACCCTCGTACTTCCTGATGTCCTCTGCGTTAATGAAGCTTTGTTTCATTCGGCTTGCTGCCCCTAAATGCTGAAAGAGAGAAGAATGACCTTGTTGCTGGAAACACAACAATGGTAGAGAACATTGGAATTTACAGAGACTAAAAAGATGCATCACCACAAAATATCAAAAAAATAGTGTGATAGCACCAATATAAGCTAATGGAAACTCAAAAAAGATAACACAGATATTCAAACTAGAGAACAAAAGTTACCTTTAGTTGTGGTCGCTGAAGTAAAGATATGGCCCTCCTGCAACTTGTGAGAAGAACTTTGAGCATCGGATTTGCTTTGCTTTGATTGGGCTGCATATATAATGTCCATTATACTAGAGTGCCAGATCCAGATTGGGCAAATCCACAAATGTGTCCAAAGTGTGTCCAAAGTGAATCATGCATGTAAGGACACAATTTACAGTCTTACACAAAATAGCAAGTTCATGCAGCTAAAGAGAACCAGTGTAAACGAGGGAAAGAAGAAGAGAACATAAAGCTTTGAAAGCTTTCCATGCTTTCAAAGTTTGATGAAACCATTAAGTTTCAAACTATCTACTAACGAGATTACTAAAAACAGTTCAATAGAACTTAAGAATTTAATACTTATGAAGAGGTGAAGTAACGAATAAAGCAAATGTACCATAGAGTTCATGAGCAGTTGAATTTTTCTCATACGCTTCACTTGAGAAACTCTTTGGCTGCCTATAGTTCTTTGCATGAAGAGTAGCCTTCCTCAGTAGATTGTCAGCATTTTTCTTACTAGCAGCTCCAGATTCCTCAGCATCATCCTCTCCTTCAGAGAAGACAGGCGGGCTAGCCCAACCAGTCAAATTTGAATCGGGCTTACTTTTTCGAGCAAACTTCAGGAGCCTCTTCAATCCTTTTGGTGAATCTTTTTGGTAGATCATGGCAGGAGGATTCTCAGCAATTCCCCACTCAGTAGTGTCAGGTTCACTGCTGTCCTCGAGCAGCATTTGCGACAGAGAGTGGCGAACACGTGGACTTGACATTCCCACCAGTGCAACAGTAGCTGAAGATGCGAGTTGTGAAGTGTTTTCATTGCATGGAATAGGCTCATCCGGGAGCTCTTCTATTTCCACCCAGGCTGCTGGGGAGATGATTGATACTTCTTCAGCTTCAGTTTTTAATGCAGATTCTGCCATTCTTGGAAAGCTATCATCATCATTGGCAGTAACTTGACTAGTGCTCTCCGTGTCTTCGCATTCCTTGGTGATATTTGACTCTGTAGTTCCCGGTTCTAAGTCACCAGGGATTTCCTGTGCTTCAAGATTGCTCTCCTGCTGCTGTGTGACCATGTCAGAAGTGTTGGTTGCCACCACCTCTTTCTCCTCAGCTTGGATAATATCACCAGAGTTTCTCAAAGACTCCTCAGGCTGAGAAGGAAACTTTGTCTTGGCAACTGAACCAACACCAGGGCCAATGCCAGAGCCCTTACGGAGAAAAGGTTTCGATTCTAGTGGTACCACAGTGCTCTTCTTCACCTTGCTATAGGAATTAGGTTTCATCATGGATGAATCATCTCCAGAATTATTCTGAGCTTTGGCTTTTGTAGTTCTCCCACTTTTCATCACAGTTTGCTGCTTCTTCTCGGTCATAGTTTGCTGCTGTTTCTTCTCGGTCACAGTTTGCTGCTTCTTCTCAGTTACAGTATGCTGCCGCTTCTCATTGACACCCTTAATGCTCTTGTGAGTATCATTCAGGGTTGCCTTCACAGTCTTTGGTCGTGGTTGTGATCTTTCCACTTTTGGGCTTGATCGAGGAACGGATGGCGCTGGTTGCGGTTTCCGACGTGTAGGAGTGGTACCAGCAGAAATCGTCCCAGCGGGAGTTTTAGCTGGTGATGTCCCTGTAGCTCTTGGTGATGGTGTTGATGGCCATGATTTACGCATTGCAGGCAGTGGAGATGGTTTAGATGAAGCTTTCTTCACAACAGTAGGTTTTGAGGTTTCCTTCTTGGGATTTGCAGATTGCCGTAAATCTTTTGGTGATTTTTGAGGTTTACTCCCAGGATGTCTTCTGCCAACATGACTTGCAGTTGCAGAGGCCATTTCAGCCTTTCTTTCATCAAGAATCTGCTGCATTGCTCTAAATTGTGCTTCCTTCTCAGCTCGCTTTCCAGAAGCTTCTCCTCGGAGTTTTTCATTCCTCTTTTCCTTATAGTGATCATAAAATCCAGCCCCCAGCTGGCTCGGAACATTTTGGCTTTTGCTATTATCAGGCCCTGCCTTCTGATATCTGACAGGCTTACTTTCCATCATCTTCATCAGCAACTGGTTCAACTCTGCTTCTTTCTGTCGACTCCATTCAGCTGATGCAGTTAATTTTTCATTACTTCCGTCTCTTTCAGTTAGAAGAGTATCAGCTTGCACACCCATTGGATGAGATCCTCTTTTCACGGATGAGTTTAATTTGTCAACAACTTCAGCAGTCTCTACAGGACTGCTAGCTCCAGATATAACATCAGGCTTTGATTCCACTTCTTGGGAGCTCGTCTGAATTTCTCCAATGGGAGTTACAGAACTTTCAGCAACATTATCAGGGATGCATTGGGCAGAACTCTCCCCCATTCCTGCACTCCATCTTCTAAGCACAGATTTGTTCGCACCAACAGAAGCATTTAACACTGAACCTGTCGTCTGAACAGTTTGATCTCTCTGTTTCCTCTCAAATAGATTGATTGCATCTTGCACACTCATTCTCCGTACATTGGTCTCAGGTTTTTTGGGGGTTGCTCAGATCCTTCCTCTTCACTGCTGTTTGCAGCAGCATCTCTGTGAGACGCTACCCTTTCCCTAGCAGGAATAAAATTGAGGCTCTTGATAGTTAGTGCAGTGGCCCTACGTGATCCAGATCTCCCAATTTGGATCCTCCGCATTGGAGATGCTGACCTTCTAGGTGATGCAGATCTTATAAGAGTCCTACTCCTTTCAACAGATGGTTGATCCTCCTCACTCGAGTAAGAAGATTCCTCGCTTTCCGATGAGTTTTGTCTCTCAACCTGGGCAACTTTTGCAGGAGAGACGCCATATTTTACCGGTGTATCAGATTGTGGTTCTTTGGACATCTGAGCACCCCCATTTGTTTTACTGACTCTGTCATTCCTTGAATCATTTGTCAACAGAGGCTTGTCGTCACTTGGAAAATCCACATTCTGGCTCTTTTGGCTCAGTTCTACTAACTTGCACAAAGAATTCCTGATAAAGAAACTAACAAATGATAAAACCTCGGTACTCACAATCAAATTGAGGATATGTAGAAAACTTGGTAGAGAGAGAGAGAAGCATCATACGATGCTTTACAAAGTTATGGCAAGTGTCTGAAAAACAGATCCAACTCATCTACGGTGGCTAAAAGTACCTTAAATCTAAGGCTCCAAAATGATGAGAAAGTTTTTCCAAGTCAGTGATCTCCTTAAGAGAGCAGGTGGCACCAGCAGCTTGGTTAATAGCAGCAGCCAATTCCTCTCTTAAAGCAGTGAGCCTTAAGTCCATCGCTCGTAGCAGTTCATTTCTGTCAGTGCCAACTCTAATTAGAAGTGATGCTACTATGGTTAATTGATGATTAGAAAAAGAATAAACAGAACATACTTTGATGCATCAGACGGTGCAATATCCACTTCATCCTGTTGAGAGTACATGAATAATTGGATGTCAAATCCCAATATATATGGGCATCATAAAACATTAAAGACATACTCAAAATGGAGAGGGGGGAAAACCAATTACTTCCAGCTATGCTGATGAGCTAAAACACCCTATCAAAGACCGACTGGGGAAACGGTGAAAGTTATTACCTTTGTATATAAGGACAGATGAAATCTCCTGGCTTCCTCTAGTTGAGATATCTCATTTACAATATAATTGCCGATATTAAGTTTGTCGGGTGAGCAAACAATACATAGAAATCTGACAAGAAATTTAATCAGTCCAGTGTACAAAAATTGGACACAGTTAGTCCACAAACCAAAAAAATGCAACATATGAAACAAGAAGCACTTTATGATATGAACCTCGTTAAAGTAGATTTTGTGAACCATTCAGCACCAGAAACATTATCAGGGTGCTGAAATTTGAAATTACAATTGGATCCTTTTGAGTCCAAATCTTTTACTTCGGGAAAATGTAGCACAAGTTGTTCGAGAAGTCCAGATGCCAATGTTTCTAATTTGTTGCCACCACATACACATGCCTCGTACCTATAAGAGTTCAATCATATTATAAAACAGAAATAATGAGCTTAGCTCAAAAGCTAGCTGATTGACAAGACCACAAAGGAATGTCTTGCACATATGCATATATATGGTATATAACATTCCCAAACTTTACTCGAAGCAGATTATCAGGCATATTAAATGGAATAGCTGGCAGTCAACAAAGGTGTAAGCTCAGGTGCCTGATTTTTATTTGAATATGTGGTGATACTTTGAAGTTTCAAAAAACAAAAAAAGGATGAAGAACTTTGAGGCTTTCACTTTTCACTTAATTTCACAATTCTATTACTATGCCTAAGAAACCACTAGCATTTCTTTGCATTTGTGGTACACCAAAATAAACTTGAAATATTGAAAACTACAATACACCACCATATGTCCAAACAAGAATGTGTGTGTGTGTGGGGGGGGGGGGGGGGGAGGACCGGAAAGCCCTCACTTTATTGATGGGAAATTTGGATCCCCTTTTCCTCTCACCTTCCCCCAGTTCTAGTTCAAGAAAGAGTCAACGCAAGAATCTTACTTCGAAGCAATCTCTGGAGTTTTTCCTTATCCAAACGGGTTTTGCAAGAAAATAGGATTTCATATTGAGCTCCAAATACACACTATTGGGATGGGATGGCTCCTACTAGTTCTCCCCCCTAAGAACCGCATGCACGAGTTTCCCTGCATACAGCCCAAGTGGCGAAGGCCCTTTCCTTCGCGCTTGGTAAGTGCTTTGTTGTAGCCAAGCTTACTGCTACCCTATTGGCTAGAGCCAAGCTTCGACCGCGACTGCTCGTCGCTTCTGGCTGCCTTATTCCATCATGCAAGATCTAAGTCAGCACCGACAAGGATCTCTTGATTCCTGGCGGTCAGGCCAGCTTGGAAGCAAGCTACCTGTTGCCTATCTCACCCCTTTTTTTTATTAGTAAGATAGGTTGTCGTATAGCACAGGAGCGTTCACATTTGTTGGCTTACTCTTTCACTTGAATTTCAAAATCCGGCTCGAGTGGTTGTTGGAGGAAACGTGAATTGGGCTTACACCACCATAGGTTATTATGATTCAAAATTGTAAGGATATTTGTCTCAGCTATTTTACAAAGTAAAAACACTCCCCGAAAAGGAAGTTAATGATTTCAGAGGGCCACCCCAAATATGAAACACAAGTAGAGAACAAAATGAAAACCTATAAATTGTTTCAAATGGAAGAAAAGTCAAAATGCAAATTGAGATCCAACTTCTATTGCACCCATTTACCATGCCATGAATCGCTTAGAAAGATAAAAAGCTACACAAGTCTGAAGTTGTTGAAACCCAAATTTTGTTAGGAACAACAAAATAAACTTATCAAAGAAATCAAATAAAACATATAGTGTAACTAAATAACAGAGTATCACTGATCAAATGACGAATTGATCTAGATGAACTATTCAAAGGTGGGTTGCCCACTCTGATTAGAACAGTCACATTTGACTGGGCTTACATACTCAATTTCAAGGACGGAAGGCTGGAAATCTTTAAGAAAGTTCGAAGTTTAAAATCATCGACACTCATTTTGAGTTTTATTTAATGGAATCTCAGTTCAACTGCAAAAGGTTGTTTCTCCATCTCCAAGTAACCAAGTAGGACCTCCATTTCTTGAAATCTAATCCAACATGATTTGCAAATGCACTAACCCAATCCATGACAGATTGATCTAGACGTCAGAACTCAATTTCACAGATCACACTGATTGGGTAACGAAACTCTCAAAAATGGGGTGAAACGTAAGCCAACGATTAAACTTTATCAAGCAATCGAAAAGGGTTCAATAATAAATGTACCTAGTGGAGTAAATATCGAAGAACATGAGATATGATAAGAAGTGTGACCTGTTTTCACTTGGAAAAATCTGAAATTCAACATAATCAAGCGGTGCAGCAGCATCAATTCCTCCCGCCATCTTAACCAGCTTATCTCAAAAGGCAAAAAACCTGTGGAAATAACAAAAGCCCTTTAGTTTCTGGCAATTCGTCAAAATGGCCATCAAAACGTACATTCAAAAGTCATAAATTATACAAGGAAAAAAAAAGGGCGAACTACACAAAGCAGGAGTTCCTTCAGCTTGCACAAATCCACATTCCATTTAATTGGAATTTAAAGAGAACCAAATCTCTTATACATTTGACCTCCAATTGAATTTTATTGCTTGAACACAACTCCAACCACACTCCTAAAAAGGGTTTGTATTAACCGTAAAGAAATCACCACCACTGACAGGAAGCTACCTGATTAATGCATTCTTATTAGAAAATATCTTCATTTCTTTCTCAAAAAAGATAAAGAAAATTAAAAATTCAGGTAATTTTAAATGGCGAACCAAGCCAGTACCTACCGTACTTACATGCATCCTCAAACTATATCATTCAAGACACATTATGACTGATAGTGTCGGTAAGTGAAAACATTGATTTTTCACCACTAAAGAATATATTTTTTCCTCGTTCAAGCTCAGATCTACGCAAAGAAAGCCCTATCTTCGGAAAAATACAGTGGCAATGTGAACCCGCCGAGATAGAAATCACATCTGATAGTACTTCGTAGCAGGTTCAAATCTCAAGCATTCCGCCTCAAGTAAAGTTGCTTGCTACAGAAAACCTACAAAAATCGGAACTCTATACATCAGTGAAATACTTATGAGCAAATGCAAATCGAAGGAAAGGATGAGAGCTACTCGGACCCCAAGCTCAAGCTCGAGAGAGAGAGAGAGAGAGAAGGTTAACGGACTTAACTCAAAGTGGAAATCTCAAATGCGAGCTGAGACCATAGTGCGTTTCTCTCTCTTGCCTTTTTTCAACTTCAATTCTCTTTTGATTTGAACAGAGAGAAAAAGGATGGGGAGAGAGAGAGGGAGAGAGAGGAGAGAGGGCATCGGTGGCGCGTTGATAGCGTTTGCATTACGAAAACGTACAATCAAAGACAAGCCACGGCATGCATCATACGCTTATTATTGCGCCTCCGACACTGACGCGCGTTTAATCACGTGCTTTTGCAAGATTAATTCAAGAGCAAATTATATTCATACCCCGATATTTTCTATAATTACCACTAATAACATCATATTAATCAAAATTGTACTACAAGTCTTGTGGTTGGGTGGAGAGTTTCTGGTGAAGGATTTTAATAATCTTGTTATCGTTTGCTAAAATATTTCTTTTTTTTTCTTATCAAACAATAACTTATAGAAAGCAACAAAAAGAAAACAATAATACCCAAAAAGTCATCCCCCCCAAAGAAAAATTTCTAGCCACAAGCACCAACATTGTCACACTAATTGTTGTACTAGTTCAATGTGCCCACTCGAGACCCATAACTTTTGACACCCCATGTCCAATGCCAGCACTAGCCTTCACCTCTCCATCCACACTACCTCTAGACCTAAACCAACCCTACCTTGCCTTACCAACCACCAGGTAGTATCATCGCCATCCATTTGTCATCCAAAATCCAAGACAAAACCCCCCATCTCCAACCAACTAGCGTAAAAAAGAAAAAGAAACAGTTAGTTATAAGAGAAACATAGATAGAGATCAAGACGGGAGGAGGTGGATAGTTTAAAGGTTGGTTGGTTCACTTAGAATTGATGTTTGGGGGGTTTGGATGCGGTTGGTGTTTCGACAATATTTTCATTTATGAAAGAGGGAGACAAAAGAGGAGAAAGAAATAGAACATGCAAATTAGGTGATTTAATTATTGTTAGAGACAAAAGTGCAATCAACTTATAAGCAGATAAAATATAATGAAAGGGTGTTAGCCTAAGCTTTAAAAATATCAAGATATCATTTGAAATTATCAAAAAAATAGGGGTTTCAATGTAATTTACACTTATGTCAGTGTAATCTACGATTTCTTTATTTATTCCACATTTCGAGGACACTAAGCAGATCCTCGTAGTGAAAAGGAAGGAAGGAAATAAATAAATAAATAAAAACAATAAAAAATTAGAGGGCATCTTAATGGTAAGTAGGGGCTAATCAGGTTTCGAAAGACTGAAACACCAAGTTTTACCGACAGTTAGGGCTGTTACTGGTCGATTGGATTTAGACCAGGTTTGATTGATTCGAATTTAAATTTGATTTCAAAAAATTTAAATCGATAATCTAGAAAATTTTATTTTCTTAGTTCATAGCTGAATTCATTAACAATTTAAAATTTTATCCTAATAACTTAATTAACTAAAGTTCAATAAATTGTACATAAATTTCAACTAATTTTTTTAAATAATCATTTACTTTCTTTAATATTTATATAGAATATATAAATAATTTAGATATGATATAAGTATATCCAAATTCGAATCTGTGAAATATAAAATATTAGATTCGTGTTCGAGTTCAAATTATCGATAAAAAAAAATATTAATTCATATATGGTTAATCCAATTCGAATTCGAATTAGAATTAGAATTAAAATTTATAATGTTTAAAATTTAAGTTACAGCATAAAGGGTTATGATTGATTAAAAAATATTGTGATTAATTAAAAAATATATAATTTTTAAAGATTAAAGTTAATACTTTTTCAGGTAAAGTTACTTTTGATTGAGGTTACGTATTAATGATTATGATAATTATTTATTTTTATAAGATATAAAGATATAATTTTATCTTTAATAATGATATTTTTAATTACGCTATCAAGTATCAACAGCTTGCCCCAAGAAGTCAACCAGACCCCTCAATTCTGGGCCCAGCACCGGGGTTTGATTACGAGGGGATTATTATATCCCGATGAGGTTTTGAAAAACATCATGCTAATGACAAAGACATCAACTTTAGTTTAGTTTTTTTTTTTTTTTTTTTTTTAATGTTTAAGAGTGATTAGATCAACTTATACACATTTTAATTAATTTTCTCTTCAATCTAATCAGTATAACCACATCTTTCGTATAGCCAAACATGTCCTTACACTGAATTTTTGAGGGATAAATATATTCAATTGATCCAATCGATCAATTCTTACCACTACATAAGGTAAGTATTTTACCCTTAGAAAAATTTTCTAACTCTTTTTTTAGCGTACTAATTGCAAATCTCCTTAGTCAAGATTCAGACACTATTACATATGATAATTCTTGTACTTTTCTCAATGTTAATCACTCATCGGTAATTGGAAGACATGCAAGTGGGATCTATAAAATAGGTCCAGTGATTCAAATGTTAGAAAAGTAATTAAAAAAAAGAGTTAAATATTTATTTGGCCTCTAAAGTATGTCATTTGTGTCAATTAAACCCCTAATTTATGTTTTATATTAATTTAACCCTTAAACTATAATATTTGTGTCAACATAACCCTTTCATCCAAATTCGTCATTAAATTCATAGTTCAGAAGCTTGATGATAGTATAATTTAGAACTAATTAAGGTATAGTTTAAGGGTCATATACTATACACCCGAGAAAATACCCAAATAGATAGTTAACTCGAAAAAAATACCCAATATATGACTGATAATACTCGACCCCAAGTCGTCGTACCAATGGGTGATGGGTGAACAACAGCTCTTGATCACTAAATGAAACAACTTTCTCACTTACTTTTTTAAAATTGTATACCAACCCATTTGCATAATGGAGCTGGCCCGAATCTGTGCTAAAGTGCTTCTTCAGCTCTCATGGCAGCAGCTCCAAATCTTGGCTTTGAAGGACTCCAACAATGTAAACCAGAGGTTGGCAAATCTTGAAGCAACGGTTTCTGGACGGCTTGCCCTATCCGACTCTTTCATCCTGCAATACACAAAAGAGAACCTTCACACCCATGAACACAGATTGAATCCACCATGTCATTGATCTACCATCCTTTTTTTTCTTTTTTTTGAGAAGCTTATGGTTAACAAGGGCATCACATATAAGAAGACAGAAAGGGAACAGATGAAAGGCCACCAATTTGTAAAACTACCCCGTGATAAATCTATGATTCCAAAGGTTGCATACCAGTTCTTCCTTGGTTTACCAAACCGGTTGCCGGTTGATCTGATCAGACATCGGACACAAGAGAGCCCAGTCGGGAAGTAATGCATGGTTCTCTGGATTGAGAACTTCATATAAAAATCTACCCAAACTAGAGACATTATTATCACCATCCAAACTGGCGCGCACAAAATCTTTTCGAGCGATATCCAAATTGAACCGATACACCAAATCAAAAAATCATTCAACGATCATATTCAAACAATGACAATGCATGTAAACAAAATGAAACAAACGGGCGGCTCATTTTCACAGCCAACAGTTATAAAACACATCTACAGCAGGAAAAATCATCCGTCATCTCACATAATCAGGGCTTCCACCCAATAAAGAAAAATTGATAAAAAAATTATAAGAAAAAGGAAAAAAAAAAAAAAAGAAGGAAGAAGGAAGAAGAAAATATCCCCAGTTTCCGGGGGGGGGGGGGGAGATATGTCAAACTACACACCCTGATCAATGCGGGAAACAGTACAACAATAAACTACTTCAAGAGCATCTAAAATACAGTTCCAGACAGTTCTCGTAGTGTGGGGCAGCAGAATGAACTCAACCATCTGGAAGAACAATCTTGGAGTCTGAAGGCAAATGAGATGACAAGACACAACCTTCAATTAGACCATACATGGACCAGGCCAAGCCTATTACCAGTGTAGATTTCATTGCGTTCCTCGTCATAGAAGAGAGCAGTGATGTCTTCCAATGCTTCTGCAACAGTACTCCTAATCCTTGAAGCCTGGACCCGCTTCTTTGAGCTGCAAGTTCTGCCACTACAACTACCCCTGCAACTGCAGTCGCCCATCAGAAACCTGTTGGTTGCTTTTATTTTGGCAAGGCATTTTCCTGTCAATATATTGCTGATATTGATAGACCCCGCTGCACAAACCATACATCTCCATTAATTTACGTGACCAGAAACTTGAAAATGGATAGGGAAACAATAATTATCAATCAATATAAAACATATTTAACAAGTATTCCATGTGACCATTTGGAAAATCTACATTATCTTCACATTTCAGTCAACATAAAATGTTATCCCTAGTTCATATTACAACTATATACTCAAAACAAATATATATAGTCGAGCAATTTACCATTTCCTTCAGGCAATGAATCATCAGAGTCAGCTTTGCAATAGGAAATGATAAGGTCCTGATCACTCGTGATGTATATGTTGTTTGTGTTGCAGTCAGGATGCCACAAAAGATGATCCTCAAAGGAAGTCACGAGCTCCCCACGAAAGTTCCAAACAGCTACGGTTCCATTCCTGAATGTCAAGAATAACTGGTTCTCGTACAGAAATATGAATGCTGATGGGGTCATAAATTCAGTTCTGCTAACTTCTGTTAACTCGGTATTGCGAACCTATAAACCATAGAGGTCAGATTTTTACGGCCCATTCACGTAAAAATATTGAACGACACTAACAAAGAGCCTTACATCAAGAATCTGGAGATTCTCATTTTCTTGCTTGACCAGAAGCTTTTCATTAAACTGTTCGATGAAATCCACCTTCTTATTCCGGTGAAGAAGATGATTGAAAGATTTGAGAACTGTCCCATCCTCTATTGAAAGAATCTTCAGAGGAACATGGCCACTAGCTTTTGTAAAAATCAACAACATGATTCCTGGACTGTTTCAGAGAATAAGTAACAAGACAAACATAAGTCTGCATAGCAATACAACATCTGTCCACAAATAAATCCAGAGAATCAAGGGATTAAGAAAAATAAAAGGAAAACAAAAGGCACGTCCAAATTAAACCTAAAAGTACAAAATCAAGCACAAACAAAAGCCATGTTGCAAGATTTGTGTGGTTCATGCTTGACAACACCCATCCGACTGAGGGAGCCATCTGCAGGTTCAAATGTCAGTTGACCCTAGGCAATAAACCCAGGCTGTCACCTAGGTGACTGCCCAAGCACCTAGGCACCAACCAGGTAGGGAATAATCGATTAGCCTCAGACAAATCCTTCTAATCCAGTTTCAGGTAACTGAAAACAGCTTTTGAAACCTCTCAAGAAGGACAACAGGATGCTAATTGGGACACTCTCCAGATGAAAAGAAAAATGGCGACTTAGAGAGGACATTAAAAAAACACAAGTTGATGATGATAATGTCAAGGGGAGAAATAAAAAATACCTGATCTTAATTTCCTGAACATTTTGATCTGATATCGAGTACAACATCGTATAGTTTTTCAAGTCAAAGACCTTGTATATGCTGATAAATGAAAATAGAATAAATATATCAGAATCAAAAAGCAAATTGCTCCAGAAAATAGACAAGTAAAAATTATTGGGAAAGTTGACTGCTTACCTATCCTGTGCAGAATAAGTGAGTACCTTCCCGTTAACATCATCAAACTCTACAAAACCAGGCCATTTCAATGACTCAGATTCAAAAAGAGCAAAGCCAGCATCGGGTTTACCCCTACGTATGTATCTGAAACCATTTGAAGACATAACCTTTCAGCAAGAGAAACCCATGTCTGAAAAAAATTCAAATTAACAGCAAATGTATAGCCAGAAGCCACATACTCAATCCGAGTGGTTCTGCATTTCAAGGAACTGAAATTGTCTGAAGCATAAACTGATACTGCGATAAGTGAATCATTGTTTTTATTGTAAAACAAGCTTCTTATAACTTCATCTGGACTGACATTCAGAAAGCATATCCTCTGGTTAGTCTCTGCAACAAACAAATCACATGTTATAAGACCTTTCAAAAACTTAACTAGAATTTAAAGATAATTATGTCACTGCTCTACCTCTGCTAAATGCTGCACAAACACCAGATTGTGCAAGAGCAAAGACGATGTCACGAGCAGCTACTATCTCAATAATTTTTGACCTCTTTTTGAGAAATGGCAGTACCGTGGCACAACTTTTAGGATCATGGGTATCATATTCCTCCTGATGCCAACATTCATCCAACATATCATCATAGGAAAGCTTTAATATGAAGAACTACTAAACCAAGAATGCTCATATAAAAAGGTGGGAATCCAAGCTAACAATCATATGAATGAACTGATTAGGTAATGACAAAAATTGACTGGTCCAGGCCAAATGTAAAAAAATGGAACTCAAATTAACTCAACAAAGTCTTGCCCCAACTATTTGGGGAACGAATTATGTTCCTTCACTATACTCTTTCAAGGGCCATATTGTTGATCAAACTGCAAGCTATCATGTATGTTTTTTACTATCTCATTCAAATTTATATTTGGGCTACATCAGCCCAGCGAATTACAATCAAGAGGTATCACATCACTCTTCCTAAAACTCATAACAAGGAAAAATAAAGGATGACATTTTACCCTATCTACAAAATTTTAGCTATTTCTTGTAAAATCTTGAAATTGGGCAAGTAAAAAACATGCACCATAACCAAAAAAATAAAAGCTCTAGAGGCACTAGGATCTTTGAAGCAATTTATATGGACGGCTTTAAGTAGCATTAAAAAAGAACACTAAAAACATTGCTTCCAAATGTGCATGAAAAAACAGATATCAATTACTTATGAGCATTGTAATATTAGTACCCCTGCATGAGCATTTTCACTGCAGCATCTAGAGACAATAATGAACAACCTTCAATAGAGGAATAGAGACTTATTGAATGTTAAGCATTCATTCCTTCACTCTCGCCTCTCCTTACTCCAATGTGTCCACTTCTCTTGCTACAGCTGTCTTGCCTCTTATTCGAACATAAATTAATCACTTTCCTTTCTCTTCTTTCAAATTTTCTTCCTTTCCTAAACAATAGGCTGGGTTACCACTACCCCCTCCGTTCTCCTTGCAAATTATCTAAACAAAAGGACAGGTAGTCACCATCATTTCATTTCTTCTCTCTTCTCTCTTCAGGCTATGGTCATCCATCCTTTTGTCCATGCTTTACTAAAATGAATTATCAATTATTTTGGGGGGAAAGTAAAAGAAAATGCCAAGCCAAACTCTCCTCCATTTTGTTGGCCGCCAGACCTACAACTCCATTTTGCACCCCAATATAATGTAATTTTTCTAAGGAAGACGTGCTTTTACTTTTCCATTCATCACCCGAACCTTTAGCCTTTATAGCTATATAGATCTATGATCACCCCTTTTGGTTATTTATGCCATTTTATGTCACCAACAACCCCGTCGCCCGACTCATAGCCCGATCCCATAAAGAATCAGTATGAGAATTCACCATCTTCCCCTACACTAATCCATGGCGAGAACACGTTATGTTTTGGTACAAACATAACTGTCAAACCAAAATGGCAATTTGGCTACACACGTGCTACAATTGACATATGGACAATCTAACTTGAAATAATTATATGTAATTTAGAGGATACAAACAGTCCACCTAGGCACTAACAATTAACAAGCAATCATAAATTCCTTAGAAATGAAACAATGATACCCTTTGCTGTGCACAAATCGAACGAATCTCAAGAGTAAAGAAATGACTAATCTTAATGCATGTCCAATCATGTATCATAAAATTACGTCATCAAGCATCCGACACACCAATATTCAATTGGGGCAAGTGTCCTAAATGTCATAAGCACTCCACTGGAAACGAAAAGGACAATTAAATTACTCTCTTTTGCAGAGCATTAAAATCCCGCCTCAGTTTTGTATCCATCCACCAAAACCAGAACAGTTCAGCAGTAAAAGCAAATAACTCGACTCAGTGGACAGACCAGTTACCTTGGGTGACGGATAGATATAGATCTAAGTTCAAATTTCAAACTAATCATCAAAATTAAATAACACTTAACGAATCATCAAACTTCAATAACACCTAAATAAGCACTTGGGTTTTCAAAGGACTCTGAACATGATGGATTGAATACCAAAGCCCTAATCATCCATCGAGGTTCAATCTTTTCATGAATTCATTGAATTGTTCTGGGGCGTTTCTTTCTTCATACGCATTCCGAGATTTCAAAGGCATGATAAAGTGATAGAAGTGAAACCAAATCAAAAAAGCCAAATCGGAAACAATCAAAACAAACCTGCAAGCGAATGTTCCTGAACCTTTCTTGGGCATCGCTCATACTAAAGGCACGGTCACGCTTCGAGCAAATCTCCCTTCTCTGGAGCTTCCTCACACTGTTCACGAACCCATCGTTGCCACCGCGAGGCCGCTTCTTTGCCACCACCCGTCGACCACAGCACGGCCTCGGACTTGCCGTTATTCTCCTTCCGTCCATCCCACAAAACACACCCGTATTCTACAACAACAACAAAGCTAAACCCCCAAATTTTACACAGCTACTGATTGCATTTAGGTATATCACACAATCAATAAGGACACCATTTCCTCCAGTCTAAAACACGAACTTGAGTTCTGAATTTCAAGCGTATATAAACCCTAAATCTCACAACAAAGTAAAAATTAGGGCTTTTCTGCCCCAAGTGCCGACAAATTATTCAAACGTAACAGAGAGAAGAAACCGACCCTCAAGCTCTCTCTCCACCAACTTTGGCTTCTTTGAATCAGACTCTCTATCCATAGATATAGATTTGAGTGTCGATTTCTCTGTGCGGGAACGTAAACACTGGAACTGTGTCCGAAAAGGGGTGTTCAAGAAGGGGAGAAGTGAAAGAGGAATGGGTCGAATGTGGAAGAGTTTGGCGTCGGACTCGAATTCAAAATCCAGATTTTGACGATTCTGATTTGTTTATGACGGTGTGCGGGAGATCCAGATCCTCTCGATTCAAATTTATTCCAATTTTGACCTAATTCAATCATCCATTGTTTTAAGTTAACGATCAGTCTCACTGTTGAACTTTTTTTAAAGTCTTCACTTCAAGTCTCGTCCTTCATCATCGCCCATTGTAATAATGTTTAACCCAAAAAAAAAAAAAATTATTTTATTTAAGTTGTGTAGTATTTTTTTTATTTAATATTTAATCGTGAAATATTTTAAGAATTTGAATATTAATTGAGTTATTCGACCCATTTTTCGTATAAAAAAATTTATTGTCTCTGTCTCTTTAATGGAGAATCTGACGAAGAAAAGAACAATATATTTCTTTGATAAAAAAAATTTAGTCTCATTTTATGGAAAATTTGATATAAATTTATTACGTCGTATATTTATATCTATATTACTAATAAATATCAATATCTGTAAATATATATATATATATATATATTAACTTTAATATTATAATAAAAAATATATTATTTAAATTTATTTACGTTCAACGCGTGTCGTGTATTGCTAATACATAAAAATATTAGGTTACGAGAAAAGGGTTTTGGCCGGACAGTGAATGAATTGAATTAATCGTGAATAATTTGAAGCAAATATTTATTTGACTCGTTAAACTTGTGTATAATGTTGTAAAAATTAACATGTAATAAGAACTGTTATGCAAAAATAAGTTGAGTTTTGTATTGAACATGGATTTGAAGTAGGGTTAAAATTCAAATTCGAACTCGTGCTCAATTCGAATGGGTTGAGTTGTGCTTGAATTTTAAGTAGCAAATTAAGTTTAAATAAAATATTTGAAAGTTTTCACAATTTGAACTATATCATTGAGAAAGAATAAGTCAAGTTCAAACAACTTAAGGCTTGGTTCATTTACATCATTTATTTTTGAATTAGGGGTAGTGTAACGTATGTCGGTAGTTGTTGGATGAATCTATTTGACACCGTTAGGTGAATTTATTGAAGTTTATTTTATTTTATATTATAAATTTCAGACTCTTAGAAATTTTGATTATAAATTATAAAAATAAAATTTGCATTAAATTCTAATTAAAATTAGATTCCATCGAAATTCAACCTATTGACAAGTCAATTGCCTAGAGCCTCTCAATTAAAACCATGGGCCCGACACATTGGTTTGGATGACGATTTTGCTGGGCCCAGCTGTGCTTGTGGATCATGTTGATCTGAACCCAGAAGGGCCCTTCTTAAAAAAAAATAATTGCATGGAAGGTTTTTAATAGGTCTCACAATTCATGACACGACTCGTGAAATTAACATAAATTTAACACGAATATAGCGTGTTTGAGTGTAATTTTAACGGGTTTAGATGGTTAACATGTTAACTTGGCAGACCCGTAAAATAAATAAACTGATTTCGTGTTTAAACCATAAACTCGTTTCAATCAGTTAACAAGTGGTACTATATTTTTTTTTTTAATAATTATATTTCTCAACCTCTACCTCATCTCTCCCGTCCCATCTCTTAGGCTAATTCAAACTTAGTAGTCATTTAATGTTAATTTTTTGTCTTTATTTTTTTGCTCAATCATGGTTTATTGTTATAGTAAACATGTCAAACATGTGTAATATGTTACAAATTGATTGTTTCCTGTGTACTCAAAATACTCTAATTTATTATCTTATTTAGCGGGTGACACACGAGTTATATAAGGTAACCCGTCTAATAAATGATTTGTGTATGAGTGTGATACTTGAACTCGATTATATAAACAAATGAGGTATGGATGAAGAATTTCTTTGACTCAAACTCATTCTATCCGGCATAAAACCGTTCGACTAGACATAATTGTCGGGCCTAGTTTTTAAAGCATGAGATTTATTTTATTTTTGTTCTTAATAATTTGATTATATTATATTAGTTTTTAAAGTATTAAATATATTTTTATGTGACCCTTAAATAAATAATACTTAAATTGTTAATAATTATTATTATAAACTTGTCACGTGATACCTAAATATAAATAAAAAATAATTTGAATAATTTTTTGACCAAAATTTAGATAATTTTTGACAAAAAATATGTAATATGAGTAATTTTTTACTAAAATTTGAATAGTTAATGATTAAAATTGTTTAATTTGGATAATTTTTTGACCAAAATTTAAGTAAAAATTTGATCAATAATTTTTTTTGATCCATATTTAGGTATTACATGATAAGTTGATAATAAAAAATTATTAATAATATGAACGTTGTCTGTTTGAAGGACCACATAAAAATATATTCAATTATTTAGAAACCAAAATGCGTTAATTACAATATTAAGGCCTAAAATGAAATAAACCTTATAATTGAAGGTGTCCGATGCAATTAACCCAAAAAAAAAAAAAAGAAGGAAAAGAAAAATGGAACTACGAAGAGAAAGAAGAGGGAATGAAGTGCAGCAGAGAAATGGCTGTTTCCGGCACGGTTTCCTCCCAATTCCGGTACCCACCGGCACAAATCTACAGTAGAAAGAAAGACTCACGAAGACAATCAAGACCACCGCCTTCCATATTCATATCCACAAACCCAACCCACGTGAACCCACTTCACCTCAGAGACCTGTACAGCCACTGCAACCACTCTTGCCACCGCTTCCCCAACCTCGGTCCCGACGGCGGCGTCGATCCCGTCGACGTCGATAAGCTCCGCATCGCTCTCTCTCATAGCTTTGTCGTCGTCTCTGTCTTCGCCAAAACCGAGGTGGATTCTAATTGTGGACCATTATCGTCGCCGGAGTTTGATGATTTGATGGGCACCGGAGGAGATTGGGTCCGGAGGGTGATGCCCTCGACGCCCTCCAGTGGCCGCTTGGTGGGTTTTGGACGAGCTGTTTCTGATTTGGGATTAACTGCTTCTATCTACGATGTAATGGTAATACACATTTCGCTTGAAAATTCCCCTTTCTACATTATACAGCACTGCTATACCAATGGAATTAAGTTTACTTTGAAATGAAAAGATACTGATTGATATTATCTTTGTGGAAAATGCTGATGAATTAGCCTTTTTTGATTTGGATTTCATGACAAAAAACTTAGTATTTATATTCATCCACATTAGATTAAGTTTTAAAGAAATTAAGCAAAGCTATTTAATGATGCATTTCAATATTGGAATACAGTACTATGTTGTGCTTCTTGGTATCTTTCAGTTTTGTTGGATACTAAGTATCGAATTTACCTGGGAACATGTTGGTAGAACTAAATTATGTGTATTCATGTAATTGTGTTTCAGTGTCTTCCAGGTTATGCCCTCATTGCAAGGTAGAGGAATCGGTCGGAGGATAGTTCAAAGAATTATAAGGTTTGTTCATCTGATTTTGAAGCCAATTCGAGTTTCAATGTTCGATTTGGATAATTATTAGAAAGTTCCTAGTGTTCACAAAGTGTTTAAATAAGCTTATGTCAACTTCAAATGCAGTAGATTAAGTGACTTGGCGTGTGACTTATCAACTGTTCTGTCTTCTATTAAACACTAGATGTATTGCTTTCTTTCTTAGGGGGTGGATTTTAGGATATTCTTATAGCTTTGGTTGGTTGAAAATTCAATTGATATCTGCCTCTTCTTGGTTAAGCATTCATGCCTCAACTTTCATGGTGACATAATTTTCCATTTTCTTCTTGCAGAATCCTCACAAATAGAGGCATATATGACATAGCTGCCATCTGCTTAGATAAAGAGAGGTAATGTGGTTGTTGGAATTGATGGCTAATTATAACTGCTTTGTCAATTTTTTTTCTTTTCGAGTTCACTTGGACTGCATATCTTGGTATTGCTTTCAACCTCTCTAGGCAACCCCCATACCCATTCACACAAGTTTTGAGAAGATTCTCAGCCCTTGCATGCTATCGGCCCTTGCATACTTAGTTAAATTATGAGGAGCATACACGCATCAAAAGACTTCTAAAGGGCAGGAGATCCAGGACGGGTTGGGCCATATACATGCAACAACTTCTGTAATGTTACATCTAATCTTTTACAGAATTCATGTAAGTTTATGTGCATAAGAACATCACAACATCAAGGCCATTCCTATTCCGGCTTGCCCAAGGCTTGCACTCAGGACCTCTGGCACCAAGGCTTTTGTCTGTCTTTTGGTTAATCCAGAGATTGGGCCTAACCAACAATAAAAAGATTATCGAGAGTGTCTGTTTAATCATTGGAGTGGATGATCGTAATCAGCATAAAAAATGTGATTCTATGTATTTTCCACCTTCCCAATACCTGAAATATTCCAGACAAGTGGTTTAGGCCATAGCCACACATACTGACTCAATAGCTTTTAAATGGTATGTGCTAACAGCTTGGGTGTAGATTGAGCAGTGAAACAGCTGTTATCCGCAGGTCAAGCTGATCTTAGGTGATATCTAAGCTCTCAGTGGCATAGAGTAAACCAATTTTGCCATTGGTTGTGGCAGATCGAAATTTGTAGGCAAAGGATTTCGATACATTTGTTTGTGCATAACCTTGAAGATATGTTCCTGCCAAGAGCATCTCCAACAAGGTTTTGTATTTTAGCTATTCAAAGTACATTTTTCTTATTTTAGCTACTCACTTTTTCAATACATATTCCAACAGATTTTCTATATTTTAACTACTTATTTTAAATATTATTTCACATATTTTGTACTTCTGTTGGGATTGCTGGAGAGGGAGCGAGAGAGAGAGACAGAGAGAGTGGATAAGAGAAGTGAGAAAGGACAGAGGAGAGTAACATATGCTGTTCGAGCATAATTTTTGTCTTTGGTTAGTTAAATTTTAGCTATTTTGGAGTTGTACATGTTCTGTTGGAGATGCTTTTACTGTGGTTACCTTGTGTTTTCCTCAGGTTATTCTTTGAAGCATGCGGATTTGGAGATGACATACTGGGATCCACTACAATGATGTATACACGGGCTAATTCTAGCTATGCCAAGGGTGATCAGTTGAGCAAATGTGCTGGTAGAAAGCTCCTTTAAGTACCAAATTCCAAGAGGATTGTCTGGCTCAACTTTGCTGGTAGAAAGCTCTTTTCACCTTCCTCTGCTGAAGTTTGAGCAACAAAATGGGAAAACTTCTGCATATCACAACTAGAAATGTTGTTGATTTTTGTTGTTGCCTTTTCCGATCGATTCCAAGCATAGAATGCATTTTGGGGAAAGGATAAAGAGAGGAAGGTGACTTCTAGTTTGGTCTGTTTTGTCAATTTGATTCTCATTGTATTAATGTTATTACTTTAGTCCCTAAAGTTTTAATTTATGTTACTTTGGTCCATAATCAAACAATTCATTAAGTTTTTTTACGGAAGTAACCACATGTCATTCTTTCACACCGTATTATGTACCTAACACGTGATCATTCCGTCAAAAACTTAACGGTCTGTTTATTTAAAGACCATTTAATCATGAATTGAATACTTTAAGGACTAAATTGACAAACTGTACATACTTTAGGGACTAAAAATGCTATTAACCTTAAAAAATGTCTTGTGATTACAGTAAAGTAGCCTTCTATATGATGCAAAACAGCTTCACCTTTTAATACAATATTTTCCAAAAAAAATAATTTATTTAAATTTATAAACAAATATTTACCAAAAAAAATTATAAATACATATTTCCACTACAACGAGGTGCGGTGCTTCCTTCGGTAGCATAATCTGACCCGGATTTTTTATTTTATTTTTTTCGACTGTTCTTTGAAAAAACACTTAAAAGGGGTGGAGTCAGAGAAAAATTATTTAAATCCCACATCAGCGGTAAGCATGGCATCTCAGCGGACTTTGGGGCCAACCCGGCCCATGACAAGGTAGTCCAGGGAAGCCCTAAGCCCAACAAGTATTGCAACACTGGTGCTCTTGGCCCATTGGTCTTGATTGATGGCCCAATTAAGGCCCACAAATAAATTTTTAAAAAAAATTCAAATTTGACCAATGAGTTATAAAAAAAAATCAGGAAAATTTGGGGGCTGGTCATTGTTTTAGACTTATTTTGAAAAATGTCTATTAAAAACTTTGTTTAGATTTAAGTTCATTTTAATCTCTATTGTCTAAAATACTCCTGACACTTATATCTAAGTAATAGTCCGCTAAAGGCCCAATAAGGGTAACCCGAAGGCCATAGTTTTGGGACGGACTTGCTCGGCCCAGCCCAGCCCATTTCCCAATCAACGGCCTTGCTACCCTCTATTGTCCAAAATACCCTTACATAAATTTACGTGATTTGAACTTTGTTGCCATAGTAAACACAAGAAAATATTCAATATAACGGTGACATTATATCGTCAATACCACGTATAACAACTATTTACTAACAAGTGAACAAATAAATCTCACAAAATTCAGTATAACAACTATTTACTAACAAGTGAACAAATAAATCTCACAAAATTCAATAACCACCTGTCCATGTAATCGAATAACCACACCACATATGAAAAAATAACAACGTAGTATCCTGTTACGGTGTATGTTTTCTTCATAAAGCAAACCACTGCCCAGTATGCCGACACTATCTGCTTGTTAAACTTGTGAGTTCCAAAAAAGTACAACGCACAATAAGAGGACCACACAAACTCAGAGTTTGCCAACTTGCACCGAATAATTTAGCACAGGAATGTAGCTAGAATTTTGGTTTTTTTTTTGTAAGTATTACGATCAAAGTGTCCGGATCAACTTACACGTCCGACAAATCAGTTTTCGGTAAAATTAACTATAGACCAAATAATTAATACCAAAAATCATAAAAATCTATTCCTTGAAATTGTCCGAAACCACGAATAATTTTATTGTAAGTTATCCTACGATTTAACAAAGTTCACACGGACAGATTAGGAACTTTTGGGACAAAACCTAGACCAAAGATGCCTAATAGCATAGCAAAACTAATCGGGACAACGAATCCCATCCTCAGCTAAACCAAGCTTTGGGAAGTACCCCAACAGAATGGAGTGCTGACCACACCGAGGGGCAGACTCTGAAACAAAGGACAAGAACGAACAGAATCGATGTATTCCCTTGTAATGGAGCTTCCTTCATTTCTCCTACTTTTTTTAAGCTCTGGTTTTAGTACTCTATGGCAAGCCGGTCCCAAAAGTCAATAAGGAATGAGTTTCTCTCAAACTTCACACAAAAAAAAAACCTCTACCGCGCTCTTTACTGTTAGTAAAGTACTTCATGATATTAGGGCACGAACGCACAAGTCTCTTTTATTTATGGAGAATTTTTTGTGCAGAGTGCCACGTAATGTGTACATAATCATAAAAAATTGATGCTCATAATATTTTGAAATTTAAAAAAAAAAAAAAAAAAAAAACCCACCTTGAATGTATTGATTGAACACAAGCCATACAAAATTTTCTCGTACTTGTGATGTGATCATGTTACTTTTTCAAAGGTTTGGGAGACGAGGGTACATCAATGTAAGATTCAGTTTACATGGCATCGATTACATTAAAAGAACAAAATTGCAGGCACTTATCAAGCACTGTTAAAGAAGGACAACATTGCCAACACAAAGTGAGTCCATTTGATCATTCACCAAAATATATTATTCCAGATATGACCTACCCTAGATTGCAAAATAATTATTCAAATATTAAACTAATTTCCATAACTGGGTACGAATCGAAGAGTTCCACCGGTCCATATTTGGCAAAAAATCGCGTTCCCGACGGTAACCATCCACTAAGAAGTTTCAAACTGAACAAGAAATTATATTATTTTACAGTGATCTCATTAAACAATACAATGCCACTAACACAGCAATTGCTCAAAACAATTTAGAAAGGCACAATGGCATAGATGCATAGGCGAAAAAAAAATAGAGTTAAGTGTACTTTCTTTCTCGATTAACCAAAAAAAAAAAAAACTCAGCTATTTAGATTTAAAAGTATAGACATACCTGTACTTTTCACAAACAAGTTGCCATTTAAGAATGCAGTTTTTTGTAGCTTCCACTCATATATCATGTGATCAGAACATCTTAAAATAGGAAAAGAAAGCTCTGATGCTTTGCTATTTTAATGGAGGACTTGACTTTTAAGTCCATGTATACATCACCCTTCAAGGCAAGTGAACTGCATCATGTTTTCATGCTTAGTCGGTGCCATTGGAGAAGAAGCAAAACCTAAATGTAGTCTGATAACATGCAGGCCTGGCTGTAGAGTTTCCAACGACAGACGAGTACTAAGCCCACAAATACAGCAGCCTGACTATAGAACCGAGTTCCAATCTTCTTACAGCCCCACTAAATATTAGTAGGTTTCTTCAATGTCGGATGAAAAACCTGCACTTGATACAAGTGTTACTAGATCATGGAAAAATCTAATACATGGTGAAAACCCCTAAAATGAAGAATAAAGGAAATGAACCACCGAATATGACATACCTTTTACCTCCATAGTTGGATGCGTGGATATTTTATCGATAGACTTAAGGAGAGCCTGTGATGGAACTCAATTGGCCTAATAATCTTGATCCAAATCCATCCAGAATATGATGATTGATCAATAAAAATATGAAGTTCTCTTACTCATGTTAATAATATCCTAGGCAAAATTCACAATAGAGAAGAAGATTGGGCATTTGAAGGCCAAAAAAATCATAGCCATTTTCCAAGTCTAGCAAATTTCTAGTATGACAGCACATATGTACATCTTCCCTTGCCAGATGAAAAAGATTTTTCATTCAGTAGTTAACTTTGTTTGCTGATAAAGAGCTTCTTTGTTCGTTTCTCGAAATAAACAAGATGTTATTCGTGATGACTTTCAATATAAGAAGCAGTAAACGATGACAAACCTTGAAGCATCACAGCAATTCACCAATCTTTCAGGCATTCATCAAGTCAACAGCTAGATTTTATATAGCAGCATGAGAAAATGAAGAAAACACATTAGTCGTAGTAAGAAAGCAAGACCCCTATACCAACGGGAGTTTTTTCTTTCGGGAGAAAAATTAAAGTCCTCGGTGAATTGAAAACAAAGACGAAAAAAAAAGGGAGCTCCCTTCAGTCCAAGCACAGAAGGAGAGGGATGAAAACTATCTCCCGCATCATTCACTCAATCACAGTAGCATAAAACCTATCCTTTTCTACTGAGCGATCAAATGAATGAGTCGGCAGCTAATTCAACCCCTTTTTCTCGTCCATGAGTGGGCTGAAGGAAGCTCCCTCAGACCATTTCTCAATGCAGCAACTCTTAACAGTATTACTCGCATTATTCCAGTGCGCTACACTCTTTGAATACCACAACAAGCTGGCCAAGTTTTCCTTTTCTGGAACTTTTTTAGAATTTTAACTGCTGAAACAATTATCTTGTTCAAGTGCCTATAGCAAGCTTTCAACTACCTGAAAAGAACCAGGATAGAAAGTGTCAAATTCTCGGTGATGCTCGAACACTCATGAAAGAGACAACCATATGAAATTAAACAGTTCAGCCATTGATCTGCAATGCATTGTTGTCAATATTGAAATTTCTTCTCTGCCAATATAATTAGAAAGAGTGAAACAATAATTACTATCTTTAGGACATGGTAACATAATTATTGAGCCTCCACAATACTCCCCCACCCCCAGCACCCCCAAAAGGAAAATACAAAGAGAAAACCAAACCAAAAAGAAAAATAAAAAAGTGAAATAGATGCAAGCTATTAGGCAAATTATTGTTTCCTGGTTAATCAGGGCACAAGGTATTGTTACCAGCTTTATCCTAAATATTAAACAACCACAAGAAGACTTCAGTAATGGAGTATACTTCTAACACAGCATTTACAATTTGTTTTCTAATCCGAAATAAGGAAAGAAAAAGGTGACAATCAGATACAAAATACAGCCAATTCTGCATTTCTTGATCATTAAGGGACTCAATACTACCTTTCCAAGCTTGAAAATCGGAGGCGATTGATTTCTTATTTCATTTACAAAAGCTATCATTTGAAGAACTTGTTAAGATTGTGTACATTATTGTAGTTGCCCCTTACATTGCTTTAAAACTATGCCACCAAACTACACAAAAAAAGGAATGAAACTATTTCAGACAATCCTCACCTTAATCTTTCCAATCTTACAATATATAATTCCTAAAAAAAAGGGAAAAACTTCACTTTTACAGCTAAAAAAGGATTGGTATTTTACCTTTGATAATCTGAAGCTATCAAAACCTTATTTGAACAATCGCTGTGTGTGTGTGTGTGTGTGTGTGCACCAGCTCAAAGAGTGAAAAATATTGCATCATAAAAACCACAAAGCTAGAGTGAAGCATTCAAGCCTAAAATTAAACTGAAATTTAGA